TTAGATAACAGCACATATATTTTTACGTTGGCTAGAAGTCTAGAAGTTACGCATAAAAGTTAGAAATTAAGTCTAGAAGTTAGGCATAAAAGTTAGAAAAAAAATAGCAAAAATTAGCACCAGAATCTTCAACTAATAGAGGATTTAGTAAGGGAACAAAACAGTAATTAGTTGTGTGCTAACAGCTTGCAGATCAAGAGGATGTGGATACAAATGTGGATATTGGACAGGTTTCTACCCTAAAAGGCATGCTTCTGCAACTGTGCTCCCTGCTGGATGGCACTACACACAGCCAGGTTTGTGATGTACAGAGTGCTACTTGCTACGTGAAGCTCTAGAACGTCCCCCTTCACTGGTTGCTTCTGGGAGGGGATAGGGTGAGTTTGAACTCACATGCCAGGGCCTGCACTTTCCCTGTCCACTTCCAGGGAAGTAGGAGGGGTGAATGCACCAATACTCTCCCTGCCACTTCTGGCGATTGTGTGCGGGGACTCACGGGAGTGGTGAGGAGGAAGAGTCTACAAAGCTCTCGTTCTGTCCCCAACTCTGCCCCCTTTCTCCCTTTGTTTCTCTCTTTCATGAACACAGCTAGGGAAAGGGTGTGGAATGGGGAAGTGAAAACAAGTGATGGAGAGAATGTAATAATGAATATACTGTATGGAATAAATGGGGAGGGAAGAAAAAGAGGAAACAATGAGAGACTAATGTGAGAGGGCAGGGGCGTGGGAGAGATTGCAGTCACAAGTTTCAAAAACTTGAGCTCAGGCAATCAATTAGTTCCACACAGTGTAAAAAAAAATTTGGAAAAAAAACACTGGTGAAAGTTAAGTTTTAAAAAATGAGAGGAATGTTTACTTCTTTCTTTGTCTGCCGACCTCAAAAGCAATATTTATGTGAACTGCTTAATTTTATGTAGGGTGGCCAACTTTCTAATCACACAAAACTGAACACCCTTGCCCTGGCCCCATCCCGAGGCCCCACCCCTTCTCTGAGGCCATCCTCCCCACTCACTTCATCCCCATCCCTCTGTCGCTTGCTCTCACCCACCCTTGCTCACTTTCACCGGGCTGGAGCAACGGGTTGGAGTGAGGGTTCTTGGGTGGGGCCAGGGTGCGGGCTCCAGGAGGGAGTTTGGGTGTGGGGGAGGCCTCAGCGTTTGGGCAGCAGGTTCAGGGTGCAGGCTCCGGGTGGCGCTTACCTCAGGCGACTCCCCAGAAGTGGTGACATGTCCCTCAGCTCCTAGGCACAGGGACAGCCAGGTGGCTCTGTGCACTACCTCTGCCCACTGGGGCCTCCCCCGCCTCTCCCATTGGCTGCGGTTCCCGGCCAGTGGAAGCTGTGGAGCCAGCGCTCGGGGCCTGGGCAGCGTGCAGAGTCCCCCTGAAATTACTTGTCTCCCCCAACACTCTACCCAGCCACTAATTGGCCAAAGATACTAGGTAGGGAAAAAGCTAAGGTCCCATGCCGCACTGATTCCAGTGGCAGGGCAGCGTTCTTCTGTTTGAAGGGGCATGTTTAAAGCTGCATGACCCCCGGGACTGCACAAACAGTTTAAAACCATGAAGTTGCACTATTCACAGCACTATGTTACAGCAAACAACATGTCAAGGAATTTCTAAAGTGTTGGTATTTTTATGCATAATTGAGAGCATTTCTGTATATTATTAAAACGGATTATCAATGGATTACCAGGCTCTGGATTAACCATGTTGCTACAAAACATTTTAGAATTCATCAATGGACATAGAACCTGGTAATTCTTCTATCTCTGATCATCATATATGATGTTTGCAACAACACCATGCCATACAAGTAGATTCTCATAGGGTTTTCCATTGACACCTTTCATTTACTTTTAAAGAGCTGCTACATCTCCAGGTGGCATATTAGACACAACTTGCAGTCAGATTAATTTAGTTGTTTTAGAGACATACCAAAATGATGACAACCATGATATTTGCTCCTTTTCTTCTGTTTACAAAAATTATATCAAGATGTATCTTTTTTCACCTTTCCCTCTGTTGAACTAGATGTAGCATACATTTAATGACAGGTTTCAGAGGAACAGCCATGTTAGTCTGTATTCGCAAAAAGAAAAGGAGTACTTGTGGCACCTTAGAGACTAACCAATTTATTTGAGCATGAGCTTTCGTGAGCTACAGCTTCACTGATGAAGTGAGCTGTAGCTCACGAAAGCTCATGCTCAAATAAATTGGTTAGTCTCTAAGGTGCCACAAGTACTCCTTTTCTTTTTGCATACATTTAATGCTTCTGCTTTTCTGAGAAATACACTTTGAAAAGCAAAAACATGATGGTGATGATACAATATAAAAATGTTTCCCTGTGTACACATTTCTTCCAGGACCTATAGCTTAAAAGGAAGGTAATCTTCTTTATCCTTCTAGTAGTCCTGAAAATGATCCATCTGATGCTCAGAGTTGGGTGCATGTGTCTCTCATTTGGGGACAATAGCTAAGTAGGAATCCATTTTATTTGGGTTGAAATTGTGCATTTCAGGGTCCATAAATCAGTAATCTTCCTACTATAACATGCCTTTATTAACCAATATTTACTGAATCCTTGACTATCAAACCAATTACTTCCCCACTGGCATTTGAATCATTTATCAAGCATATTCTTTGAACTTTACATTTGATTTGTGCTTTGACATGTGTCATATCCTCAAATACACAAAACACACAGAGCCACTTACTAACCTCCTTATGAGGATCCTTATGAGCTTCTAGTGTCTTCATAATTGTAAGCTCTGCATAATTTTTAAATCTTGCTGGTTGGTTCCTTAGAATTTCTCTTAAAACTTTCAATGCCAAAGCTCTGATTGCATGCTAAAGGTTAAATATTGTATATAATTGAGTTATTTCTCTTTGAACAGACAATGTGCTTTTAATATTAGCTCAGCAATTGGACACAAACATGTTTGATAGTCGAAATATAATGTAAATTATAATAAGCTCCCCCCAAATGCATACAGTACAAGCCTATTCATTCAAGCTCGAAGCACATGGAACTCTCAGAAAAATCTTTACAGCATCCCAACCCATATTCTCACCCCCTCTCGATACATATATCTTACATGGTGTTATGAAGTTTTTACTAAGCAATATATGTAGATGCAATGCATGCCTGCAAAATCACAAGCAACATATGCAGATCATCCCAAGCGAGTGCTAATAAAACCTTTACACAACATTACCGCCATATTTTGTCTAAACCACTTATTTTACCAAAAAATGGCTTAGAAATATTTTAGTTTTCAAAAATGTTATTGCAATTTTTGAGTACCTCTGATTGAGAAGACACGTCTACTTACAAGTCTAACTATGGCATACTAATTATAGTAAGTCTAATTATACAAAACTGAAAGGGACTTGCCAATTATAACAACTACATTTTAGAAACCTCCAAAAGTACTTAAAATTTATTTCCTATACATAATGTTGTATGTGTTTTAGGATTTTATACCTTGGAACATAGCAGGGGCCAGCAAAAGCTGTTTCGTATCCTCCCAGAAAGCTAGGGAAACCTCCTTTCCAAAAGAGGAGAATATGGGATAGGAGGGAGATGTATACACTAGGGATGTAAAATATTCAATGGTTAAATGGTTAATGGTAAGTGTTAGTCTTACCATTAACCCACCGTAACCGTTAATCCGCTTCATGCAGGTCTTCAACCAATTCTCCTGCAACAGAGACTGACCCAAGCCCCAGCTGTGCTGGCAGCAGCAGCCCCCAGCCCAGTCGGGGGGGGGGGGGGAAGGGGTGTGTAAAGTAGTCCCCGGCCTCCCAGTGCCACTGGAAGGGTTCGGCTGCAGAGGCGGATGGCGCACTGGTCAGTGAAGGGAAGGAAAGCTGCTGCTGGGGTGGCATGGAGTGACTGCGTTGGCTGCATCGGGACAAACTAGGTACCTGGTCCCCTCTCCTTTTAATTGGCTATCCGGTTAAACAATATAATTTTATAGTTTAAATGGTGATCTTTCTAAATGATATTTACGTCCGTATTATACACACTCTTCTTATTTAGACATTTTTTAAAGGCAAGCTTTGCATGGCCCACTTAGAAGGTGATCTACAAATAAGAATACTTTGAATTTCATAGTAATTAGCTGAATATCCCCAACCCTAAGGTAAAAAAAGGATGAGCAACCAATTTTAAGCTTCCATAACTCCCATCCCACAGTTCAAATGAATAGTACCCACTGTGCATAATATGCATTATACTGTCATCCACCACAAAAATCACCTGAAACATGAAGCCAGTATAGGAAGCAGGGGAGGGAGAACCAGAGAAATGCCCTTTTGATACGAAAGGGTGTATATTTTTCAGTTATTTTTTATTTTATTTTTTTAAATTGCTAGCTCAACATAAATATGTAGTATGGAGAAAAAGCCATGTACCTGACCCCTATCCAGTCCATTACCAGATGCTAGATTGTATATGCCTAATGCACAGAACACTGGACAGAGTTGGAGTCAACAAGACTGGACACTGGGAGAACCCAAAAGACAAAAAAACCCTGTAAAGTAAACATGACAACTGCCTCTTTTTACTTTTTGGGGCACTGAGATTATTTGAAATTTAATGGCATTTTCTTAGTGCCATTTGTAGATTGTCATTAAAAAGCATTTTACTGCTACCTGATACTTGTCTATCCCCTCCTAGAGATACCATTTAAACGCAATATGAATTTCATCCATGTGAAGTGTTATTGAAGAATGTATCCTAATGTCAAAAGCAATTTCCGTGCACGGTCAACTTTGGGTTAGTCTGAACTTACCTCTTTGTCCCCAAGAGTTTCAAGTAACAGAAGTAGTATCGTTTTGAAGTGCTCATCCCAAACACCAAAGGACTCTTCTTGAGTCAATTTCATAAGCTCATACAAAGCAGCCTTTCTTTCTTCAACTCTCTCATTATGGTTTGACAATTCCTTCAGTAACTCTGCAACCAGATCAGAATGGTCCATGGGAGGCTCTATTAAAAAGGAATAAATGGACATATTCCTCAAACTGTAGAGTTGATAAAAAGTAACTCCTATCACATAATGCAGTGATACTTTCTAGGCTGACAGGCCTTAAAACTATTTTCTTTTTCTCAGCTCTGTCTGCAAGGACATTTTTACTCTCAAAATGAACACAAATACTGTATTTTCAGTGTGGTCAGCATTCCTGAGCAACAAATGTCTGGCATCATGGCAAAAAACAACTTGCAAATGAACTGACTGCAGCTTGAATCTTCCAATGACTGAACAGGTACGTGAAGCTGATTAGACTAAGAATTCCACAGGGCTGCCGCTGCTGACCCTAGGACAAGCTCTCTCTGTGTAGGAGAATTTAAAAAATATACAGGAGGGATACCATAATGATGAGCAAGGCATGAATAACTAGATTGATACTTATACAGACTGGGCAGTCAACCCAAGATGCCTGCAAAACTTCAATAAAACCTGGTCTCCAATGTGAATTCAAACATCAAGTTGTTGTCTTTACTTCGTTACCAAATAGTAAGACATCTCTGGCCTTTGAAAAGGGAACTCTTCTGCCTGTGTCTTGCTGTCCAGGTAGAAGATTAAGAACCTCACAGTACTTTTGAAGGAAAAAAGGTAAAAGATACAAACAAAAAAATCTCTCTCTCAAATAAACTTCTATTTTACAAGGCACATAATGGAAGGAGTCAAATTTTCTCACATCTGCAAAACATGGCGATTAAGCAGAGACAGTCTTGTACCTTTCTCTAGGACTATTTTATGTTGACACTAAGCTACAAGTGAAATATTTCTGCAACAAAATTTGTTATGACATCACATACAGATAAATCACATGTTAATCAGTCTTTGAGTTTATTATTACATTTTTCAGAGTAACAGCCGTGTTAGTCTGTATTCGCAAAAAGAAAAGGAGTACTTGTGGCACCTCAGAGACTAACCAATTTATTTGAGCATAAGCTTTCGTGAGCTACAGCAAGTCCTACCACACACACTGAAGATAAGTTCCCATGATAAATTTTATTATTGGGAAAACATATTGACATTATATTAGGGAAATGAGGCATATACTCTGCCCTGACAGGTTAATTCCACAGTATAAATTTCATCAGCATGATATTCTCATCAACCTTGCTGATGTCACACATTCAAAGGTTATTGCATAAGTTCATGTCCTAAGAAATTTAGCAGTTTTTGAAGGACTGACATTGTATAATACTGCTCTGGGTACCAAACAAATAAATTAAATGCATAGTATGAATTGGTAGCTAATGCAACGCTAATTTTTTTTAAAAGGCTCCAGAGGCGATCATGCAAATTACAGGGCGCTAAGCATAACTTCAGTACCAGGCAAAATGGTTGAAACTATAGTAAAGAACATGGGCGGTGGGTGAAGCTTCCACTTGGAGAGGCAGTAGCTCCCCAGACAGCCTCTTCTGCCTGTGGCCCCACCCATACTCCACCCCTGCTCTCCCCCAAGCCCCACCCCCTCCCCACTGTCTCTCTCCTCTCTTCCCTCACCCTCCCTGCTCACCACGCACACATCCCCTTCCAGCCAAATCCCTGAAACCAAGCAAATGAAAAAAACAACATATTTGAAAAAAGCCCTTCACTTTTCTGCAATTTCTTTCTAAAGAAAATGGAGCATGTTTTCCACTGTGTGCCAGATGGTGTTTGAACATGCAAACGGTACCTAATTAAAATCACTAAACTTGGGAATAAAAAATGTCAGTCACAGGTTTTTTGATATACCCTGATAGCTGACATGCAGGCAGCCCGCAAAACAGCCTTTTCAAGTGCCCTGACTCCCTCATGGATCCTGGAAAACATATAATGGCAAGCAGCAGTTAAAGCTAATTGAGAAATCTCTGTCCTTTTTTCACACAATAAAACAAGGTGTCAGTCCTCACTCTCAGTTGGCATTTTCACCCTGACAGGAAGAAAATGACAGGAATCAGACTGCAAAATCTGCCACCCCATTTTCACTTCTTCACACAAACAAGTTTGAGCAGTTCCTATGTTTATTGTTTAAACAGCAGTAAGCACCTCAGGCAATGAATAAGAACTGCCAAGAGGAGTGGCTGCTGCAGCTAGAGATGAATCCTGGAAGTAAAGTAAAAGCTCACTGCTACTTTAAAAACAATAAAACCCGCTTAGCTCACAGAACCAAAGCGGCAAAAAGTCCTACTGAGGCAGCATGGTGGTGCCAGATTTATGGACCAGACCAGCAGATCCTATATCCCCAGGGGTGAAGGAACCAAATCCCCGGTCCCATTCTCATGAGAAACTGGCCACCAGGCAAATGTAATCAATCTCCCATCCCCTGAAAAGAGTTCAGTCTTATCCTACCAATGCCTCCTCTCCTCCCCGCCACCATACCAGTATGGCCATTCTTATGTTATGCTAAAATAAATCCAGCATGCCTGTCCAATTTTTTGGAATACTAATGTTTGACAGACATTAGGAACATTAACAATGTTACTATGATGGAATGATCAATACAAGTAAAGCCTGGAATGATCAATGCAAGTAAAGTCAGTAGTTTCATTCAATTTACTAAAATTACCAGAAACACCATGTCCTGAGTGGTGAAAGAGGCTCACTCTGTAATACGGTAACATCCTGCTAAACAGAGAGATTTGATGATTTTTACTTCTGACAGAATTCCGTGCCTCTGTGGGGGTGCAGAATTCGTATGGCCCGCATATTTCTGTGCCCCCCCCGTGCAGAAAAATGCAAATCTGCGGTGGGATACGCGCCTCTTCCCCAGCAGCCCAGGCAGCACTTCTGTTCCAGAGTGCCCAGAGCAGCCTCAGAGGTGCAAATCACTGCAGGGGGAGAGGGGCTGGGCGTGCGTCCCTGTGGGGAAGATGATATCTGTCGGGGGCAGAGCTGGGCGTGCATGCCTGCCAACAAACGAGATAGACTCTGTCCCTCTTGCTAGCTACTGCGGCTCACCAGGGGTGTGCAGGGGTAGGTCTTTTTATTATGGAGGAGGAAGGCTCTTTCCCCGAGCCAGAAAATAGCAGCCTGCCTGCTAGTTAACAGATCTCATTCTCTGAGTCAGAAATGTAGCAGCCTGCCTGCATAGTAACACTGTTAATGTTCCGATTGTTCGTTAACTGTTCCCATTCTTAGTCCATTCCTCCAGGAGCATAAAACCTGTAAATGTTTTAAGGACCTTACATTGCCACAGTGATGTAAAGCCTTATAAATGACAGTAAGGGAATCAGCTAGGAAGATCTATGTGCCTTCTCACATTTTTCCTGTGCCAAAGTGGCACAATGGGATTAGATTACAGCTCAGGATATATTTTACTTACCCTCAAAAAAAAAAAAAAAAAAAGAAAAAAAAAGGACTTTGAGGACAAATAAAATGTTTACCAAGCAGTCAATAAAATGTCAGGACAATCAGAAGAGGAAGTTACTCACCTTGTGCAGTAACGATGGTTCTTCACTTTAGGTGCCTGTGTGCCCTTGCACCTCTAATCGAGATTTTTGGCAGCAGTGTCCCGTTGATCCCGCACATGTGCTCTTCCTCCCTCATGGTCTGCCTTAAGGCTATTTAGCACTGCATGGGCGAACCCCCCTCACTTCCTTCTCTACCACACACCCCTATAGAGAACTCCGAAGTAGAGGAGAGGAGGGTGGGTTGTGGAGCACCCATAGGGACACACATCTCTAAGAACCATCGTTACTGCACAAGTTGCGTTTCTTCTTCTTCGAGTAGTGTCCCAATGGGTGCTCCACTTTAGGGGACTCCCAAGCAGTACCCACCACTGGAGGCTGGAACTTTGAAGTGGAATCTTTTACTACAGAGAGTACTGTGGAGTTGAAGATGGTGTCAGCGGCCAAATCTTCAGTGATCGCATAATGTTCTGCGAAAGTATGGGCAGAGGCCCAAGTCGTTGCTCTATAGATTGCTGAGATAGGGGTATCCCTACGGAACGTGACTGAGGTAGAAACTGACCTCGTGGAGTGCGTATGGACTATGGACAGAAGCAAGTTGCACCCTTGATAAGTGATTAATGCAACTAGAGACCCATCTGGATAGTCTCTGAGGCACTATCACAGAGCTTTTGGATCTTTCTGTGGATGAAAGGAAGAGTTTAGGGGATTTCCTGAAGTCCTTAGTCCTGTCCAAGTAGAATGCTAATGTCCTTCTAATATCTAGCATACGCACAACTGTCTCCCAGTTGTTACAATGTGGTTTTGGGAAAAAACAGGGAGATAGATCTGTTGATTCATATGGAAAGTGCAGAAAAAGTAGGGAGAAACTTTGGATATGGCCTTAGAGTTACTTTACCTTAAAAAAAAAGAAAAAGAAAAAAGAAAAAGGCCGTGAATGGTGGATGTGCCATCAGGGCCGCTATTTCTCCTGTGTGCCTAGCTGACGTGATGGCAATTAGAAATGCTGTCTTCATGGACAGGTGTAAAAGAGAATAAGTTGCCCTGGACTCGGAGGGAGGGCAAGCCAAAGCCCTGAGAACTAGATTAAAGTCCCAGGCTGCAGCGGGTGGTGTCACATGGGTGGGGGGGGGGGAAGAGATTCCCAATGCCCTTAAAGAATCTACACATTAGTGGGTGAGCAAACATCAAGTGGGAAGCCGTTTTCACCACGAGATGTACCTTAAGTGAGCTGAGTGAGAGTTTCAAATGTAGTGCAAAATCAGAGAGAGGAAAGATGAGGTTGGGTCTGTGTGTTTGGAATGACACAAACTTGCAGTCGTTTCCATTTTGTAGATAAGTATGACGGGTGGTCAACTTGTGGTTGTGTTGCAACATGTGTGCCCTTGTTGCCAAGAAGGCCAATGGCATTTTGGGATGTATAAGTAGGGGCATAGCCAGCAGATCGAGGGACGTGATCGTTCCCCTCTATTCGACATTGGTGAGGCCTCATCTGGAGTACTGTGTCCAGTTTTGGGCCCCACACTTCAAGAAGGATGTGGATAAATTGGAGAGAGTCCAGCGAAGGGCAACAAAAATGATTAGGGGTCTGGAACACATGAGTTATGAGGAGAGGCTGAGGGAGCTGGGATTGTTTAGCCTGCAGAAGAGAAGAATGAGGGGGGATTTGATAGCTGCTTTCAACTACCTGAAAGGGGGTTCCAAAGAGGATGGCTCTAGACTGTTCTCAATGGTAGCAGATGACAGAACGAGGAGTAATGGTCTCAAGTTGCAGTGGGGGAGGTTTAGATTGGATATTAGGAAAAACTTTTTCACTAAGAGGGTGGTGAAACACTGGAATGCGTTACCTAGGGAGGTGGTAGAATCTCCTTCCTTAGAGGTTTTTAAGGTCAGGCTTGACAAAGCCCTGGCTGGGATGATTTAACTGGGAATTGGTCCTGCTTCGAGCAGGGGGTTGGACTAGATGACCTTCTGGGGTCCCTTCCAACCCTGATATTCTATGATTCTATGTCTTTCAGCTTGTCAGAGCGTTCTGTCTCTAAGCCTTGGAACTAAGAAGGAGCCAAGCCTGGAGGCGGAGGACCTGCGGGTTGGGGTGAAGGGTGAGCCCATTGTTTTGAGAGAGCGGGTGAGGAATGGGCTGAAGAGAAACAGGAGGGCATATTGCCATCTGTGTCAGGTAAGGGAGCCAGACTTGTCATGGTCAAGAGGGGAAATCAGAATAATTCTCGCTTTGTTTCGTTGAATTTTCAACAGAATCTTGGATAGAATAGGAAACTGGGAAAAGACATACAAGTGGGCCCTGATCCATGGGAAGATGAGGGCAACTTCCAGTGAATGTTTCCCCAGGCCGGCCCTGGAGCAGTAACAAGGACCCTTCTTGTGCCGTTAAGTAGTGAAGAGATCCATAGGCAGGGTTCCCCAAAGGGTGGATATATCTTGAAGCACCTCTGAATTCAGTACACACTCATTGTCATGAGAAAATTCCAACTGAGACTGTTGGTTGTCACATTCTGTATCCCTGGTAGATAGACAGTTGAGATGAGCACATTGTGATGGGTGCATCAATTCCAAAGATTGAATGCTATCTTGTAGAGGGAGGGCGATCTGGCAGCTCCTTGGTGGTTTATACAAAACATACAGATCATATTAAGTCCATCATGACCTTTGTGTGTTGCTTTTGATGAAAGGCAGAGTGTGCGCACAGGCACTCCTGACAACCCTTAGCCCCAAAAGAGTGATATGGAAGGTCATTTTTGTGGAAGGCCATTTGTCCTGAACTTCGTTGTTGTGTAGGTGAGCTCCCCAGCATATTAAAGAGACGTGTCCCAGGATGGTGAATGTGGGTAGTGAGAGGAGCGCTCTCGCTCGTACTGCATCAGGTTGGTGCTGATAAAGTCCAGTAACTGTACCAGGGTAAGTATGCCACTACCATGATGAGAACGTTGAAGAAGACCCTGTGTGGGGCAGTCTGTACTGATAATGATCCTGCCCCAAAGGTAAGCAGTAGGAAATCTCCTGTACGATGGCTGTATTGAGATATGGAAGTAGGCACCCTGTAGGTTCAGGGCTAGAAATCAATCTCTTTGCTCTAGAGCTGGTCCTAACTGCTGTGAAGTAGGGTAAGGTCACTTCTGAGTGGCGTGACAGGTGTATAGATAGCAGCTGATGCCGTAAGGTATCATTGTTCAGGACCTCAACCAGCTCATCAGAAGTGCTTATAAGAGGCAGTTTGAGAGGTCATGGACTGGGGTGCAGACTGTTCCTACTTTTGAGCCCTGCGCCTCTTACACTGTGGCTCATAACAGCACTGAGATGGTGGGTATTGAGAAGATTGTGACCTGTGGTGTGGTTGAGAGGTACATCTTCTCTTCTGTCCCATAGTGTAGATTCCTAAGGAGCGTAACATGGTCCGAGAATCCTTCAGGATGTGGAGAGAAAAATCTATCTTCTCCGCAAAGACTATGGCCCTTCAAACTGGAAGTCTGTAGCTCTTTGGGCAATCTAGAGAGGCGTAGCCAACAAAAAAAACCCACAACCCACCTCAGTACCACTGTCATGGAGACCGGGCGGGCAGCTGTAACAGCTACATCCAGTGGTGTCTCTAGGATCAGTCTGGCCATTAACTGACTGTCTCTAAGAATGGTCTGAATCTGTTCTTTTTGTATTTCCAGTAATGTTCCAGAAACATACTGGGTTTCCCATAATTAATAAAATTGTATTTGGCCATGTAAATAGTAAAACATGAACATTGGCCATTTACTTACCCCAAACATCACTTGGTAAAAAGCTATGTCAATAAGTAGAACTGCACTTAGGTTAGATCCAGTACATATCATATCTTTTTATCTTACATAAAATATAATTGAAGACTGACAGTGGCTCTTAATGCTGACAACGAGCTATATAAATGGTGACGTTTCAAGAAAATAAAGCTGAATAAGAGTAAATTTTTCAAGTAGAGAATCTCGTAAATCTCACTCTGAGTGCAATTACTAAATCTGAATACAAACAATGCCAGAGAGTGTATTGTTTTCTTTCAGGTAGTTCCTATGGCAAATCATTGCTTAATAACAGAACTACAGTTGAGACAGAAGCAAGAATTCCCTTCTCACCAGGCTCTAATAACATAATAAAGATTAGACTATAACTGAATAGTCATTTCAAAATATTCGCTATCTCTGAAGCAATACATTAACAATCCCCCCTACCAGTTTTTCTGCATTGCCATCACCTTTTTAAAGGTTTCCTTGAGATTTTCAGTAAGGTGTACAGCATGTACAATTGGGAGTGTCAAGAGGCCAGGGGACTTTTGCTGGTGTATGCTCAACGTTAAAGAAAAGTGAAAAGTTAAGACTTCATTACAAATCTGTGTATTCAACTTAATATGAAATAATTTCATCATGAACAAATTTCACAAAATAACTTTTCTACATACTTGAATTTGTTTCTGAGCATGGATAGCAGTTTATAAGGTAAACACCATTAGAATTAGACTTTAAAACCTTTTATAAATTTATTTTTAATGAACATGAGGTACTTATCAAAATGAAAGAGTAATTCAAATCATTTATAATTTTACTTAAGTGTCTCAGGTCTACTTGGTAGGACAGTAAAGATTGTTTGCCAGCCACTAGTAAAATTGTACATGTACTACAAGCTTCCTTCTCCTTTACTTAAAGAGGAATCTCTCCACTGGTCCACAATCCACTGCTATTGCCCACCTACCATTTAGCTGTGCATATTCTAAACTGGAATGGAATACCAAAAGCCACAACTGTTCCCTATCCAGTTGTTAAACCACCATTCCCCCCAACCCAAGCAACTTCAATACAAAAATGGGCACACTGAATATCTGGGGGTAATGTAAAATAAATTGAATATAATATCAATATAAATAAATAACAGAGGATACTGTACTGATTGACATGGATGAAAAAGTAGTGATTAAGAGAAGGCAAGGTAGACAAAGCAGTGCTGCATAATCCTGGGGACATATGGACATGCTTCAAACCAAACTCTCAATAGGATGATAACTTAATGGTCATCATCTTTTTGTTTCAAGAATGTGGGGCCAGATCCTCAGCTGGTCATCAGTGTTTTGCCTCAATTCAGACCAGTTAATAATTGGGAACATAAAGTTCACAGCCAGTACCATATCTCTAGAAAATGTTATTATAAGCTACAGAATTGGAGAAGAAAAATGAGCAAGAAAGAATAAGTGAAGGAAACAAATGCAAAATAAAACATTTGGTTATAAACATTACAAGAAAATACACTGGAAAAGATTAAAATTTAGCTTAACAAGCTTATAAAGCAGCAAGTTGAATAACTATGTCAAAATGGTCTGACTACAGCCTCCTTTTTCAGCACTTGCATTTAAAAAAATGTTTAGTCAACACAAAATATCCCAGACTTGTGTTTCAAATAAAAATATTTCACCACCAAAACTCTGTGCTGTTAATCTTTCATCTGTAGCCAAAACTAGTTTTACATAATGAAAAAAGAAACTGGGTAATCACAAAGATCTTTTCTTCCCTTGACAAACTGAAAAAAATTAGATAAAGCAACATATCTACAAATTTTTTTTTCTTTTTGGACTGTCATACACTAAAATATACTTACTACAACTTAAGTCCAAATATACAGTATACGCTACAGTTAGCAATTCTCTTATTCCAGTCCCTTACTTTTCCTATAATTTTGTATTTATGAGGAAGAACATTAATACTGGAGTATTCCATTACATTGCAATTCTGTCTGATAGCTTTTGTAACACTGCTTGCTTTTCACAATATTCAGATAGGATTTGCAATTCAATAAACCTAGTCCGAAAAACATGATTTACTGCATCAGCAGTCCGGTTCCTTCAGATACTTTTATGTATAGCTAATTTAGCTCAGCCTCTATTTACTACATGAAAACCTTAAAGACTATACGCAACAAATGTAGACAAATCTTATGATTTCCCCTCTAACAAAGAATGTAATCTAGAACTTACCATCAGGAAATTGCTCTGCATCATCATCAAACATAGCTTCTTTCAAAGCAGATTTGTTAAAAGAACTGATATTATCCGAGTAATTGTACGGGTTATAATCTCGTGAACGTGGAGAAGAGTGGGGAGGCATTGTGTTAAGTAATGATGTTTTGTTATCAAGAGCTGTTCGGCCTGTATCAATTGCACCACCTCCTGCTCTTAGATCCGCTATTCCAGAGCCACTGCAAATCTGCCAGGAAAAAATAAAAACACCCCTCCCCATAAACATATTTAATATCTCACTCACTTTGTAGTTCACTGTTCCTCTTAGGTTAACAGTAGCAAATAATAGTCTTCTCTACATAGGGAAGTTAGTGTGCAGCAAGCTGGGTGTCAATTTACCATACTCTGGCTACTCTACACTAATTCTTTTGTGGAGACTCCTATTGTGCACTAAAAGTGCTCTTTATACTTTAAAATCCAGTACACTAAAGGGTAGTAAGCTAAAGCGCTTGATGGCCCTCTTAGCACACAGTAACAGTGTTCACATGTGGGGGTTGTACAGAGTAGGCAGTGTGCTGTAAATGCACACCCTAAAATTGCTGTGTGCTAAGTTCTCATGTAGACAATATCAAAGACAAGCTACAAAGTTTGCAAGGTTCCACTGGTGCCACAGAGTACCAACTAACATCTCAAATTGGCTCATTGTTTCTCAACACTTATGGCTTATGTAAATGAACACTTAGATTGCAGCAGGTTGAGTTGTAAACCTACCCTATACTACTTTGCCGTTCACTAAGTGTCCATCTGAACCCTGCTGCCATGCATTGAGCACCCTAGGGCAGAGGTTCTCAACCTGTGGTCCATGGACCACCAGTGGTCTGCAAGCTCCATTCAGGTGGTCCGTGGATAGTTCCCTCTAAGATGCATGCCTGGGCGGCCGCACACAAGAGAATGAAGAGCCATCTACCAAATTAGTGGAGCCGCTCAGGCATGGCTCCGCTAATTAGGTGCCTGGACCCTGGAGAAGATGCACATGCTTGGTGAGGTGGTGGCCTTGGGGGGGGGAATCTGGCATAGGTGGGAGGGGGAAGTAGGGTGAGAAGAAGGGGTGAGGGGAATTTGGGATGTGCAGGGCTGCAGCGGCCAGAGAAAGAGGTGACTTTCCCCAGCTCCAGGGCTGCGGCTGTTGGGGAGAG